ACCCACAGTGGGTAAAGGTGAGGCCGTTACCTTTGAGCGATGCGATCATGCGAGGACACCTCTGCTGCAGGAAGGCCTTCAGCTGCTCCCAGGCTCTCTTCAGGACCGGGTAGTACTGGATGTACCGGCCCAGGTCGGTGTAGTACTGCCTGAACAGACAGTACCAGGACACGCCGCTCTGCAGCCGGTCCGCACTGCGCACACACACACACACACACACACACACACACACACACACACACACTGTGTACACTGCGGTGTTGTGCGATTTGAGGAGGTTTAATGAGCAGTACTCACTCTGTCAGCAGCCAGTGTTTGCAGCACAGCGACTTCCACAGCGGATTGTGTTTGGACAGATCGTTCAACCTGCGGCTGACGTAACTGCAGCTGCAGACAGAAGGGGCGGGGTCAGATATGCATGGGGCGGGGTTAGATATGCACGGTGCGTGGTTAGATATGCACAGGGGCGGGGTTAGATATGCATAGGGGCGGGGTTAGATATGCATGGAGCGGGGTCAAACACAGCTCAGATCAAACTAGGCCGAACATTAAAATGTCTGGAGACGTCCCTTTGACCTGCAGACAAGTATTTTTCAAAACAAGGATATCTTTATTCATACAACAGCTGTTTTTGTGGTTCTTTTGTCGTCATCATGCTTCTGTTTCTGGTTGTTCTGCATCTACTTGTGGTCATTTGAGTTGACAGCAATCAACATGAACCACAAAGTGTCCTGAACAACTAAAAAAAAAATGCTCAAAATGACAAACTTGTTCAAAATAATCCTAATTAATAAACGCAGCATGGATCAGAACCAGAGAACAGAGGAGCCAGTTGTTGGAGATACATTCAGCTGATGGTGGAACATCTTTCTACTGATGGTGGAACATCTTCCTACATCTGATGGTGGAACATCTTTCTACACAAAGAATCTATAAAGAGACTCAAAACAACCACAGAAACAGCTACAAGCACAGCTCCACACAGAACCAATACAGAGTGTGTACAGCTGATGAAACGACCAGGAGAACTTGCAGTACTGTGTGTACATGGCGCTGATGCAGTGTTCCTACATGACCTGCAGTAAACCTGTCAAAGTTCTAAATAATGTGAGTACAAGCAGCTCAGATCCCTGCTGAGATCAGACCTGACGGGACACCGCTCGGTGTTTAAACCAACTAATCAGCTGAGCTGCACACAAACAAGCTGTTAGCAGCTGTTAGCATGCGGCTAACTGTAAACAAGATGTGTATCTTGATGTAACGTCGCCATGTTGGCTCGGTGCTCCATGACAGCCACCGCTAAAGTCTCCACTGAATCAACACTCGCTGTAAACCGCTGACAGGAACTGTTCGCTTCTTTCTTTATGAAAAATGAGAACAAACCCCGCAGCTAGCTGAGCTAACTAGCTGCTGCTGCCGCTGCTGGAGTTTGTGGCTGCGAGCTGCGCAGCCGCCTCACGACACTGTCCGTCTGTTTTGAAGTCAACAGCCGGGGCTCGCTGCCGTGTGGACCGGCCGGCTGCCGGATACGTACCGGACCAGGTCCCTGAAGGCCAGGTAGGATAAAATGTGCAGCAGCGGATCTGAAGGCAGCTCATCCATCCGTAACTCCGTGGAAGCTGCCATTGTTAGCGTTAGCAACACTTCTTCTTCGTCGTCTCACTTTTTAGCAGCCGGCTGCTGCGCAGATGTGTAGTGCGCATCTCTCTTCTTCTCTGGAGTCATCAGCATCGTAGTGTTATGGACTACGTTTAAATTACTGCTGTTAGACAACAACTATGTAATATGATGTACTGCACTAAACTATACTACTATACGACACTACAATATACTATATTATACTATAGTAAAGCATACTATACTATACTATAGAGTACTACACTATAATATACTGTTTTCTACTATAATAAAGTATACTGTACTATGCTGCTCAGACCATTCACTGTCCCTTTAAATGCGACATGATTGTATTTTTGCTATTTTGACCTCACGTTCTGTTTCTGGTCTGTGCTCAGGTTCTGGTTCAGGTCCAGTTTCTGGTACAGAATGTCTGACTGCACCTCGTCATCATTCTGATGCAGAACAAACTCTGGCTTGTTTCTGTCTGTCTTGACCTGACGTTATGTTGACTCGGTTCTCTTCAGACAGTCAGAACCTTTGGTTCTGTGGCCTGCAGTTGTCCCTGAAAAATGTGAGGAACAGCGCCACCTAGGTGCTGGAACAATGCAGGAGGCTGGAGGAGTTCCTCAGTGTCTGACCTGAGTTTACATGACTTAAACAAGAACAAGATGACAGAACGTTGATAAAACACTCAGAGGGTTCCTCTCATGTTCCTCTGGTTCCACCGAGTGTCTCTGACTGATGACCTGACATCAGAAAAGGTGGATTTTTATTCCTATTTGAAAAATATAAGTGACGTAACAACATGACATGAAGGGTCCAGAGAGCTCCTCGGCCGACACACAAACCACAGATTCTGCCTCATGTGGAAGCAGCTCACCGCTAAACAGGTGTTTTACTGACATTCAGATAAGACGAGATGAGATCGTGTTTCATTTATCCCACAGTGGAGATCATTCATTGATGTATTCTTAAAGATGGTTTCTGCTCTTTTCTGTGGACTGAACATGTAAACATTCCATCTTCCTGCATTCTACAGACTCCATGACAACAAAGTCAGCAGCTGGAGTCTGTGACAGGAGGAAGCTGATTTTAGTTGTCTGTTGTACTTCCTGTCTGATAAAAATGCTGCTGCTGTGATTTTCATCCTCACTGAGGAAAACAACATCTGTAACTTTACTTCTGTCTCTTCTGCCGCCTCACATTCAGCTCCGTCAGGTCTCTGCTCACACATTTATTTTTTACATCCTTCTCTCTCTCTGCAGCAAATCTGGACCAATCGGCACCAAGCAGCGGTGCATCATGTGACCCTGTCTCAGTTATTCACAAAAAGCGGAGCAGCGATGCAGCAGTGAGTCACTGCGGCTCTGGATTAAAACCTGCTGATGTGCAGCTCAAACATCTGGCCTGTAAAGCCGACAGGAGCTGCAGCTGTTGACATGTCGATCTGCTGTCAGCTGACGTCATGTTTTAATGTGTGTGTAACGTTCAGAGTTTTAAAAAACTTTCTGTAAGAATGATTGCTGCTGCAGCTGAATTATTTCCTGACAGAAAGGTACAGATGGATGTCTGTAGGTGTGATTTTAACAAAAGACGTATTTTTATTTACAGCAGATAAAAATAACAGAAACTGTCTTTTTGTATTCAGAGGACCTGTTCTCATGTTCGTACTTGTTTTGTGTTGTTTGTTTTAATTACTAGCATTTACTAGAAAATGTACTGCGAGCACATGTTTCCCTTATTATATGGATTTATTTAACATTTGCAGGTTTGACTGTTTGTCCTGTTTGTACAACATAAACACCTTAAATAGTATTTTTTCATAAAGTCAACATTAAAATACAGAAAATGCTTTTTACTGTTAGTTAACAGCGTTTTTCAAAATTACGGGACGAACCCAGTAACAAGCTGCCACATTTACTGTAGTTTTACTCCCACCTGGAGTCATGAGCAGAACATTTATTGATTCAGTGACAACATGAAGACAGAATGAAACAGAAGGAAGAAGAGGCGACACGCACTCGGGTGACTCGTGTTGTTTATGGCACAGGTCAGTCGTCCTGACTGCTCTGACAGAAAACATCCTGGTCTGACCAGCAGGTCACATGACCGACTGCCTGGAATCATTGACTCTGAAAGGAACTCTTTACATTCAGCTGCATGGAGACACCAAACCCAGGAGAAGTCAAACAGGTTGAATTCAAGTCTGTGACGCAGGAATGAAGCGACTCCTGCGACGAAACGAAATAAGGCTGGCGGTTGGTCGCATGTGCAGTTGCCATGGTAACACGTCCACAATGGTGCAGTCGGAGGATGCCGTTAGTTTTGATTGACAGCATGCAGTTAAGGTCGCCGCTCACCGGTCGCCATGGTAACGGCGGCGACCAGCCGCTGCAGCCGGTTTACATTCAGCGGGCCGCCGGGCGAGTCTCATTGACAAACACTGACGTCTCCTCTCTCTCTCTCTCTCTCTCTTAGCGATCCAGGTCGTCGATCCGGCCGCCATCTTTGTCCCCCCCCTCCCTCCCCCCCTCGGCCGCCCCCTGCCTCTTCAGGTCCTGGAACACCTCGGTGAAGAAATGCGGGTCGGCGTTGATGCGCAGCATGTCGCCGCTCAGGCGCTCGATCACCTCCAGCGCTCGATCCCAGAATGCATCGCGGCTGGACTCCACCAGGAAGGGCTTGAGCGGGTAGGAGATCTCGTTGCCCAGGTAGGAGTAGGACAGGTAGAGACAAGTGAGGAAGGTGGCGTGGAGCTCCTGCTCCGAAGATGTATCCTCATCCACCACGTCCCTGCACAGCAGGTACACGAAGACCAGACTGGCAGGACTGATGAAGCACTGATCCTGGAGGGGGACAGGACAGGACAGGTAGGACTACAGGACAGGTGGGAGGACAGGACAGGACAGGTAGGACTACAGGACAGGTNTGGGGGAGGCGGGAGGGGGGCGTCCACCTGTCTGTCTGTCTCATTACCTGTCTGTCGCTTCGAGTTGGACCCAAACGACCAGAAAATGTTCCGATATGAACCAGTTCAACATGACACTTGTCAAAAATGACTAAAAACAAAAAAAAATGTACAAAATGAGTCCAATGAGGTCAACATGACTCTACTGTTGTTGTTGTTGTTGTTGTTGTTGTTGTTGTTGTTGTTTACTCAGATGAGACCAAACGACCTGGAACCTGCTCAACATGCAGCTCAACGGGTCCAAAACGGATCAAATCAGTGACTTGAAACTTGATCAGCGTTTCTCAGAATTGGTTCAGAACAAGTCCAGTTTTGATCAAAGTGATCTGAAACCCGACTCACTCGAACCTGGTCTGGTCCAGCTTCACCACATCAGGTTCTGCTGATGTTAGAGCCTCAGCAGCTGGTGAAATGTGACCAAAGACTGGATTCCAGCAGAACCATGGATCCATCCACAGACAGACACTGACAGGAACTCTCTGGATCAGCACCAGCCTGGTTGGACACGTCACACTGAGACGAGGACAAACTGAACCTTAACATGTCTTCTCAGGTGTTTGGAGCTGAACAGCAGCAGATGTTCTGAGCTGCAGCCTCCAGCAGAGGGAGCCTGGAGGTGAAGAAGAACCTTCATCACTGCCTGACAGCTCCACATGTTTTCCTGCTCAGCCATCAGAGTTCCATCAGACACACTTTGTGCCTCGACTTGACCTGGAACCTGTCAAACGATACAAACATGTCCACAGCGACCCACGACTCGTCCAGAGCGACTTGGAACTGCTGAGTCACAGCTGTCCAAATAACAGAAATGTATGAATGACGTTACTCAGAATGGTCCAGACTCATAGAAACGTGTCCCAAAGAGTCACAGTTGTCCTAAACTACTCAGAGTTGAGCCCCCAGATGATTTTAAGCTCAGCTGTCCAAAAAGGACTCAGAACCGTCCGAATGACACGAATGTTTCCAGAAGGACTCAAATACGTCAGAAAAGACCCCAAATTGTCCAACATGAAGCAAACTTGCCCAGAAAGACTCAGGATTTGTCCAACATAAGATGAAAACAGTCAAAAATCACCTGGACCGTTTAGAAAATCAATCAATATTGTTCAAAAGACATAAACTTGTCAAAGAGACTCAACATTGTCCAAAAAGACCCAAACTGGTCCTAAAGACGGACATGTGTCCGTCTGTCCCAGAGAGACCACCACCGGGATGAGTAACGGACTCAACTAACTCTGAGTGTCTACAAGAGCTCNAGGGAGAAGTAAAGGAGGCAATGAGAGAGGAGGAAAGGAGACAAGGAGAGAGGACACAAGGAGGCAACGAGGGGTGAGACAAGAAGGCAAGGTGATAAGGAGGGAGGAGGAAAGGAGACAAGGAGGGAGGAGGAAAGAAGACAAGGAGGAAAGGAGACAAGGGGGGAGGAGGACAGAAGACAAGGAGGAAGGAGGACAAGGAGACAAGGAGGGAGGAGGAAAGAAGACAAGGAGGAAGGAGGAAAGGAGACAAGGAGGAAAGGAGACAAGGAGGGAGGAGGAAAGGAGACAAGGAGGGAGGGCACAAGTAGGCAAGGAAGGAGGAGATAAGGAGGCAAGGAGGGAGGACATAAGGAGACCAGGAGGAAGGAGGAACGAAGACAAGGAGGGAGAAGTAAAGGAGGCAATGAGAGAGGAGGAAAGGAGACAAGGAGAGAGGACACAAGGAGGCAAGGAGGGGTGAGACAAGAAGGCAAGGAGACAAGGAGGGAGGAGGAAAGGAGACAATGAGGGAGGATGCAAAGAGACAAGGAGAGAAGACACAAGGAGGCAAGGAGAGAGGAGGCAAGGATGTAAGGAGGCAAGGACAGAAGGAGGAGGAAATGAGGGAGAGACAAGGAGGTAAGGAGACAAGGAGGGAGGAGGATAGGAGATAAGGAAGGAGGAGGCAAGGAGGCAACGAGGGAGGACACATTGAGGCAGGATGCAAGGAGACAAGGAGAGAGGACGCAAGGAGGCAAGGAGACAAGAAGGAGGAGGAAATGAGGGAGGAGACACGGATGCAAGGAGTCAAGGATACAAAAGGCAACGAGAGGGGACATAAGGAAACAAAGAGGGAGGAGGCAAGGAGAGAGGAGAAAGGATACAAGGATTGAACAGGCAAGGAGACAAGGAGGTAGCGAGATAGGGAGGGAGGAGACAAGGAGACAAGGAGGGAGGAGATAAGGAGGGAGAAGAAAGGATACAAGCATGGAGAAGAAAAGTAGACAAGGAGACAGGAGACAAGGATGGGAGGACGGAGGAGGCAAGGAGGGAAGGAGACAAGAAGACAACGAGAGAGTTGGCAAGGAAGCAGGGAAGCAAGGATGGAGGACACAAGGAGACGACAAGTAGGGAGGAGTGAAGGAAACCGGCTGTAAACGTGTCTCATTTGCAGATTCGCGGTAAATGATTAAATCAGAATCGCTCTCAGATCAGTTTTAACGGAACCGTCCCGGTCTTCAGACTCTGGCCCGCTCCCTGGCCCTCCCTGTCTCCGTGTGAAGCACCGACCTGCACCACCACCCTCCGCGGGGACACGGTGAGCTCCGGCCGGCCCTGCCTCTGCCGGTGGCCGCGCTCCGGGACGGTGGGGACGGGCACCGGGATGGGTCCGTGCCTGTGTCCGGCCTTCGGCGCTCTGTGCCGCGGGTCGCTGTCGGGCTGCTCCCGCTGCTGCTGCTCGGTCACCGGCTTCACCTTCTTGCCGCCCTTCCTCTTGGCTCGCGCGGCCACGAGGCGCTTCTTCCAGGTGAGCGCGTGCAGGAGCAGCGCGTGTCGCTTCTTCTTCTTCTTCTTCTTCTCCTCCTCCTCATCCTCAGCATCCTCAGCATCAGCATCATCCTCCTCCGGCGGCTTCTGCACCGCCAGCTTCTCCGGTCCACGAGCCGCGGCTTTCCGCGAGCCCGGAGACAGAGACAGCACCGTTCCCATGACGACAACCGGACCGAGCGGCGCGAGCCTCTGCAGCAGCAACGGAGGAGGAGGAGGAGGA